ATAATCCACAGCTGCGCCAAACAGACCCTAAGTCAAGATTCAAAATTGCGTAATTACAGGCAATTGAGACAGTACAAAAAAAGCAACGAGGCAAATGTCTCAAGTTGTCGCAGTAGAGTCATATGCCATAGCTTTATTTCGAATAAGCATCTCATTAAATTATTTTTAAAATTTAAATTTATAAACCTAATATATCAAATTAAACATGTTTAACTATTTATTTAAATCTAAAATATAGCAAATTTTGCATTTTTTTTGGTGAGATCAATCAGTACAAGTAAAGATCATTACAATGATGACTGGGTGAGATAGATGATAAGAATTAGAATTGATGATGCAAATCTGAAAAATCTATACCATCACAGGTGCAAATTGTGTGCATTGATATTACTTAAGACATTGTAATTATTGTTTTATTTTTCCAAATTATTTAATGTAATATACCTATAATAATGATGCCTATGAGAATGGCATGTGTTCCCTAATATTTTAATTCCTGTGGTCAGGTTTGTTTGCAACGTAAACTGAAAGCAAGTTGATTCAGCTCTCATTAGATTTCTTTCAAATGTGCAAAGTGGGGTAATTATGTGGCGTTTTCTTACTTTTTTGTGTCAAATTTATGCTTTCACGTGATATATGTAATCTATGTTTGTAATATACATGTAGAGCATATATTTTGGAGAACAATTACATTTACGACTCAAAGCCCCAGCATCAAACATATAGCGCAACAACTCCCATTTGATAGTGACACAACGCCGAAGGAGCAGCGCTTCAGCTCCTGAATTAATATTTTTTATGTCAAAAATCTGAGAACACAACACTACGGCACCCGAAGCAAACGCCCTAGCGCCTTGACTAGCAACGCCCCGACGTCAGGAAGACAGCATCTTTGTTTTATGCCCTAATTCAAAAATCAGAGAGCACGAAATGTGGCGTTCAGACAACGCCGCCGCATTCTCTCATAGCGCTGCAATTTCACATCGCGGTGTCTCAGCGCTTAGTACCTACTCACTTCAGTTTGAGCGGTTCTAGT